TAAATAAAAAAAATATTATCATAGTCATTTTGATTTATTTTGAGACATTTTTCAATAATAATGTGATTAATGATTTATTAAATCATCACATTCTTGTATTAACCTAACTAAAATTAAACTGATTGGATTTGATTTAAGGATAATTATACTCGATTCCAAATATTCAGAAGAAATTATGTTTTCATTTTGCTTACAAAAATTCTAGTTTATTTGCATAAATTAAATATTTTTATGATGTATTTCCTAAAACTCATTTAACTACAAATTTATTGTAAAATTTCAATATATTATCATAAACATAGATAAAGAATTGTAACTTAGTTGTTGGTTAAGTTACATAATTTATTGAAGATGTTCTGAAATTTTAAATCTTAAAAAATACATTTTCATAGAAATAATATTCAAGAATCAAACAATAATGTCTACTCTAATTAATCTCATAGTTTTATTTTTAATTACAATAAGAATAGAAACTTTATATTTTTTATGTTATTCTACTTATCATATTATCATATTCCAAAGAAAATGTAAATAGTAAAACAGAAGGTGCTCTGGATTTAACAATATCATTTTATTCTTTATGATAATGATTCCAAACTTATTAAAAAGGATTATCCAAAGAAAAAGGTTGGGTTCTAAATATTCAGGAGAAGGTTTCAAAATTGATTAATTATCAACCATAGAACTCTCATAATGAATCAGTAATGCTGTTATAAATAATTTTAAACGTAGTCCTATTCTAGAAATAATACATCAATATCATCTGATACTACTCCCTGTGTATTTAACAAGTATAAGAGTATCGAAAAAGAATTTATGAAATGTGTTTATAAGAAGGTTAATTTATGTGATGCTTTCATTATTATTCATTCAGCCTCAAGTTAAGCAGACATGAGACTTAGTAATCAAGATGCCCATATTTAAGTAATTATTGTTATACTACACTGCTTTTTGAAATTGTTCCTAAACATTTTTAATTAGAATTATTAAGGTTACTTCATAAGAACCTATTTATTATAGGAGAATCAAATAAACCATAAATTATTGGAAAATAGAATCTCATAAAAGTAAATGAGAAATCACAACTTCTAGTGAATCATGTTCAAATATATTAAAGTTTCCTTAATTTCAAGTTCAATTGAACAAATATGTAAATATACTGCTGGATTTAATTTAGATGATACTATTGGGCTAATTTTAACAATAAAATTTGTGCAGATTGAGCTGAATAATGATTCAATATTGACAGCAAATATAGAATTGAAAATATTTATAATCAAATTAAAAATCAAAAAATAATATAATGTTGTACATGCAATTAATATTATAAATCTTAAAACCTATGCAATTTTTAATTTTATAAAATTTCCAAGCACTAATTGATATTTCATATTAATCCAAATAAAATATGATTGTTGAAATTATTTTAAATCCTGTAAAAAAGTGAAAAATATGCTATTCATATAGTAGTGTATGCAATTGAAATAATTATTCAACAGATATTTGCAATTTCTTATGTATTTTTGTTAAATTGAAGTTCAAATATTGTGTAGTTTTGGAATTTATTGTGATTGAATTAAAATAGGCTATTGAGAATTCAATTTTCTTTTGAAATGCTTGATACTTAAAGTCTATAGGTTAACTAATTTTAATATAAAAATTACATTTATATTTAATTGGAGTCCTATTATTAATCATTCATTTTTCTTGTGAATCTACAATTTAGGCAAAATTATTGAGTATTTAGATATAACAAAACTCAATCTTTATATATATACTAGGTATGGTAATCAATATGGAATTTTAACTAGGAATGCTTTTGTTATATAACAATGAGATTGTATTTATTTTTTAGACATTAATAAAATCATTATATTTTTAAAATAATTCTCAAAATTTTCAAATTAATAGATGTTCAAAGGTTGAAAAAATAATGGGATATAAAAACTAACTGATTTAGTGGAATTGTGAGATTAAAAAAAGTAGGAGGATTATCAAATAATAAATAAAAGTGTTAAAAAGAAAGTGACGAAGCTAAAGAGACATTTTAGAATTTCGATAATCTCATTTAGCAATATAAGCAAAAAGCAAAACATATAATTCTTTAAAATAATATAATTAATTACAAATATGCAATAATTTTTTTTCATATTTTCTTTTGATCTATACATTAAATACTATTCTGATAATTGCTTATTCTAGCTTGATTTTATAAATATTTAATATCTATAACTATTTATACAATTAATAATTAATTTTGCTTTTAGTATTATTAGTAAAAAAATAGTTTAAGCTCCAATAATATTTGAAAAATTTGTTTAAACCATAATTATAGTAGAATTATAAGAGTATAATGAATTTATTTAGAATAGAAATCAAATAATTAAGATCTCCTAAACTAATCATCTTTTTCTTTGATTCTTTTTGATCGGATCTTATCTGATTTTCTTTATTTAAATATAAAAAATGTTTAGCCGTTTGGCTTTTATAATTAATTTTGATAAAGAATATCATTAACAATATAAATTAATAAATAAATTATGTAATAAGTTGAACGCTGTTTGATTTATTTTTAACATCAAGAAGGAAAATAATTTCCTTAAATACCTTTTAGTGAAAATTTCATGATTATACTCCTAAAATGTATTTCCCTTATTTAGAAGATTTCCTTAAGGAGCAAAAGATTGCTCCATCGATTTAATGAAAACTCCATTTGCAAGATACCCCTTCGGAAAATGTTGGATTTGGACTTAACTCTAAGAATTTTAGATTATGAAGTAGTCTAAAATAATATGGAAGAATTCTTGAAGATGTCTTCTAAAGATTACTTGGTAATCTATATTGTTCGAAGTTGTATAATTATTTAGTTATGTTAATTGATCCCTTATAACTTGAAATTTGTGACATATTAAATTTTTTTGAAGATAGTTTAGTGCATCCAACTTATGCTGATGAGAGTCTTCAATATATTAAGAAAGAATTATTATTATTGCATTATTTTAACTGTTCCCTCTCATTTTTAGAAAAAGTATTTTATCAAGAGGATTCAATTAAAAGGCCTTTATTTATGGACTGAAAATGATAAATATTATGGTTATAGAAATCATTATTGAAAGATAGATAGTTTAAAGGAAGTAGGATTCTTAATTTTTACGATTTCAAGAATCATCTTTATAAATTGATACATAAAGATGTTGTAAAAGTCAATATATAATTAAAATTTCCTTTAAAAATCTTTTCTTCTCGAGCTTGATAGAGAGTATATCTGTTAAAATCAGTGTTAATTATAGGTTTCATAATTAAGAATATAAAATATCTTAACCTGATTTAATGTATTTCCTATCTATAAAAACCTTAATTAAAAAATATATTATATTAATTAGAAAATACCCCCATATTCATAATTTATTAATAATTTAATTTAAATTAAAGATATTATTATCAATAAAAAATGAATATTATACAAATAAAATAAACTTAAGAGTCTTAAGAGACAATTTGTAAGACCCATAATTAGGAATTTATTGCTGTTGACTTGGATATGTCTGATAAATCATAGATTTAATTCTTTTGTGGCAAATGTTTAGTGGATAAATTAAATAATAATAAAGTATTAACTATTGAACAATCTAAAGAAAGGATCTAAAAAATAAAGACTTAATAACAAGAAATAAAGACAAAAGAAAATTAATCAAGGCTTAGCTATTATAAGAATATATTAGATCAAATAATGGACTTCAAAAGATCTATTGATGATACTTTAGAAAAGATTTACAAATAAATATAATAATATATATTTCCAATTTAAAAAGAAAAATAAGA